AATCCTGGACTCCTGCTCAAAATGATAAATTAATATAAGGACAGCTACAAAAAAACAAAAAACAACAACAATAAGTCCACGAAGCTGTTGCCGTTCCGTCCTGACGGATGACAGCCGTGACAGCTAAGTGGAATCTCGGAAAATAAACCGTGGAACTTTGACCAATGAGACAACAGTTTACTCGTGCGTGACTTGTATTAACAAATTTGGTCCGTTTAGAAACTTTGCCGTCTGAAAGCGAACCGCACCAAGAATAAAAAGCAACATTGTAATAATTTTAATCCCTGTTTCGGAACAAAGCAATCGATCTACAGGTGTGAAAGCACCCTTAGTCACTTTGTGTTGGTTTCACGAGAGAGACGGGGAGGTTGCCGCTTGGTTTTAGATAACATATTGCCTGTTTTTGCGCTTTTTCACCAACAAAAATAATTTCAAACATAGCCACAACGCGGTTTTGTGTCTCTGAGCAACATGAGGGCATTTCGTTCATGAATGAATCAATCGTTTAGATGATTCGGTTCAATCGCAATGACTCACTTATTAACAGTGACTTGCTGCCACCTACTGGCGGTTTTAATTTCACATTTAAAGTATCTTTTTAATATTTAAATAATTTCAAATATCAATATTTAACGTTTTATGTTCAATATATCAAAACATTATTTATGCATTAAACGGTGTGTAAATGCATCTAAATGCCACTTCTGATGCAGCTTCTGCGTTTTCTCTGCATTGCAAAGATAAATTTTGTTTATACTGATTTCATTTACTTGGTAACAGCCCAAATGTCTTATTATTCTAATGTAATTTGACTGAAAAGATAATTCACACTTTTAGAAAAAAAATTGGCTTTATAAAGGTAAAAATGCCCATAAAAGGTAAAAATCTATTTAAACTGACTGAAAAAGGTTAATTTCTATCAGTGTGAACTGACCACCACACAGAATATGAAGAATATCATAAACTTCAGGAGTCAGTTTAAGATATCAGCAAAATAACACACTCAGCACAATATCATCTAATTATAGTTATTGATAAAATCCCAGAAAATATCGAGATATTATTTTTTTTTGCCAATATCGCACACCCCTAATCTGAATGCATCTTTCCAGGAACACCAAAATACTAATGAATTTCTTCACTGCTGAAATGCAAAAATGACAAGAAAAATCACTAGTTTGTGCTTGTTCAAACATCAAGCTAAAGCAAGTGGAGTCAAGTTATAAAAAATAGCAACAATAAAAAACACTTTCTTCAACACTCCCGAAAGAACTTGCAGACATAATCAGGTCTGCAATTTGTCTTAAAATTACAAGCATGCACGAACAGGTCTTGACTTGAAACGGCTGTCCATATTTGGCATCAGTTATGTCAATAATCTATAACTATTAAAGCCGACAGGACAAGGTACTATCTCTTGGGAGTTTTGCTTTTGGCATTTTTCAGCCTCTGAGTTAATGCAGAACACATTTGCCAGTGGCTCTTCCTCGCAAGTGAACGTTGTCTGTATTCTGCATGGTCATTGCTAAGCAACAGCTAGGTGATCGCAAAACACAGACGCTACAAATCATTTCTTGAAGGGTTTTCCATTGTATGACCCTAAGGTTTTGCTCATAAAAAAAAAAGACCATGACAAACTTTTGACTTTTCATAGACCAAGCTGTTAGAAATAAAAGGTGGAAGGAAAAACTAAAAGGTAGACTGGGACATGTTTCAAAATTTTACATGAGGACTAAATGGTTTCCAGCTGGTATTATTTGTATGAACTGAAGTGATGAAATAAGGAACAAATGCAAGTGTAAGTGCATGTTTATTATCTAGTCAAAATAAAAAGGAGCAAAACATTGTTATGCACACAGCAGCTAATAAGACGGAGTCAAATTTATTGCTTAAGTATCGCTCAGTATCATGAAGACGACACAAGGACATCTGGGCCAACAGATAAGTAAAAAGTAAACCAGGGAGGGGTGGGTACTGGAAACATGATTCTTGGATATTCGCTTTGCAAATCTCGGAGCAGCAGATTACGAATGAAGCCAATGCAGTATTTACGTCACAATATTTTAAGGTCTTTTCTATAATCAAAGAAACTTTTTATAGGGTTTTATATAACCTATTTGATTAAATTTCATCTTGTCCACAAATTATTTTAATTTGACCATATTTTAGCAAACCAACAGACACCCCTGCAAACTCTTTTCCAAGGAGAGCATTTAGTCACTGAACCGAGTGCCAGTCACACCGCTGGGTTTAGCCTTAAGCTACTGTGAGAGCAAAGACAAGGTCAAGAGATAAAGACCTGAGCTATCAGCCTTTCCACATCACTCAGTGGAAAAATGCTACACCCACTGACAAGTTTCTATGATGTGCCTTGGTCTGCATAAATGGCAAAGTATGGTCACTTAAGATAAGATGGCTTTGCTATTCTTTCCTAATCATAAGTAATAACAGATAATGCTATTTCATTTATGAACATGCCACAGTAGCTTATGCCGTGACAATACAGAGCCCAAAATAACTACTAAAAATGCTATTGGCCATTTTAAGTCCCATAAACAGACAATAATTCCTACCTTTATACCAGCCCCTTCTTCCTTATCGTCATTCCAATGAGCTCTACACTTTCCTCCGTCCACTCTCCATCCGTGTTTCGAATGATTTCCCTGAAAACGAAAGGATCAAATGGGAGATAAGACTCGATAACTTGGCTTCATCTTTAGCAACTCTAACAGTTACCCATAACTACATCTCCAAATAAATGATGCAGCAACGCATTTAGTAAAAGGGAGAAAGCTTCTGGTAATCTCCTTAACGGATTACACTGGGAAATTACTCCTCTATAAACAGCCAACTATCTCTGTGGGTCAAACCGGCAAGCACTTTTTCCCTGGCTACCAACACTAGTTCTGCAAAATGGTCTGCTAATCTATGTAAGATGCACAATGTTTATGTAGTAAGTGAGCTTAATGAGGTCAGCAACTTACTATGCATTGTACATTAACAGTAATATACTAGTGCTTGTTTAAACAGGACGGGGGGGGTAGTTTAAAATAAGAGACATTGGAAATGTCCAACGAAAAGTTGTCAAAGTAGTTGATATTATGTTAACACAGCAAATACGGTAATATTGTTAATAATTCTGCACCAGTAACTGGTTTACAGTGCAACACAGTAGGTGGCAGTCTTGCGCTGTAAAGCCCAAAGTATACTTGCGTAGTTTTTTTTTTTAAATGCACACAAGGGTAAAGCCCAAAGTATACTTCTCTTTTTACATGTACGCGCAGGTCGCAAATGCGCATTGAATTTGTTTTGCAGTAATCAGTTGTGCCTCAAGGTGGCAACACTGTCCCGGGCCGTTGTTTCACAGTAGAAGATGAAACTAAAGTGACAGAACAAAATCAACAAAATAGCGGAGACTGCAACAACAACAGAGGCTCACATTGACAAGTGCTTGTGAGCGAGAGGGTATGAGATAGCTCAGCTTTGGTTTAAAACGGTTCAAAAATATTTATTATTATCGGTCATTATAACATACAGGGAAAAACAGAGCAGACACTAGACATTGATGAAGCTTTCTAGAGCATATGTGATGACCTCCTGCGTTTGCGCACAACGTCAAATGGAGTATACTTTGAAAGGCTACGCGTTTGACTGTACGCATACGCTAACGTACGAGAACAAAATGAAGTATACTTTGGGCTTAAGTGTACAGACGAAGTGTAGCCTTTCAAAGGATACTCCATTTGACAGTTTGCACGAACACAGGCGGGCGACACGCACTCTAAGTTTCATCTTTGTCCAGTGTGGGCACTATCTTTCTTCAGAAGTTACGACCGATAAAATAGTCTTCGTACTATTTTAAACCATCTCATAATCCCATCACACAAGTGCTTGTGAATGCAAGCTTCTGTTGTTCCTGCAGTAGCCGGTATTTTGTTGTTGTTTCATACACATAAAAAAACAAAGTATACTTTTGGGTTAATGCTGGTATCCATCGGTCCTCAAACAGAAAAAGGTGATGACACAGTGTGCAGCTACTATAGCTGACAAAACAAAACAAAAAAAACAAAAAGAACAAAAAGTGAACTCCAGTGTGGTTTTTTGGATTACATAATAAATAAGGGGTTTCAGACACCCCATTGACAAAAAAATTCATTTATTGGCTAAAAAAGAAAAAAAAAAAAAATTTCTTCAGAAGTTACGACCGATAAAATAGTCTTCGTACTATTTTAAACCATCTCATAATCCCATCACACAAGTGCTTGTGAATGCAAGCTTCTGTTGTTCCTGCAGTAGCCGGTATTTTGTTGTTGTTTCATACACATAAAAAAACAAAGTATACTTTTGGGTTAATGCTGGTATCCATCGGTCCTCAAACAGAAAAAGGTGATGACACAGTGTGCAGCTACTATAGCTGACAAAACAAAACAAAAAAAACAAAAAGAACAAAAAGTGAACTCCAGTGTGGTTTTTTGGATTACATAATAAATAAGGGGTTTCAGACACCCCATTGACAAAAAAATTCATTTATTGGCTAAAAAAGAAAAAAAAAAAAAAATAATGTCGTCAAGGATGAATTTGACTGATAGCATTATTATTTAATTTTCAAAATTTCTATAGATATAGTGATAATATTGTTACTGTGAATTATTTTGGTCACAATATTAATGTATTGGAAATTTGATATCATGACAGTCCTATTTGGAATAATGTGCACCAATGAATCATTCACAATAAGATCAGAAATATGCATTATGAAAATAAACTGCACTTTGATTTCTCATTGCCATTTGCCGGCACAAAAAAAAAAAAAAAAGAAATCGACAAAATATGACAGCTAAAACAACTGACTCAAAGAGACAGAATAATGGAGAATTCACTCGTACTGATAGAGCAGCCTGGCGAGAAGGGCAGTTACCAACAGTAGGGGGTAGAGAGGTACACTGACTCCTGTTTCAACAACTTGGGGGGACCTTCAAGCTCATAAAATAAGCCCATAGCATCACATAAATACGTGAGCGGGCCAAACAATTATCTGACGTGAAAAGTAGAATATAGCCACTTCCAGGGGCTAAAGTCAGCCTATCAAGATTGAGCTTGGGGCCTCACAGCCCTGCCCCTCCCCCAGGAACAACCTCTTCTCCTTTAAGTGTTTAACCAGATGGCCATCTCAACAACAGAAGCCTCCCATACACAAACACAAAGACAGGGGCATCTGTTTATGAAGCCATACCAGCACATATAATGTCACTGCAAGATTTTAAATATAAATAAATGAATTAAAAAAATTAAATAATTGTAAATAATAGCCTAACTGCTCTGAGCAGGGCTGCACAATTAATCAAAGTTAAACCGAAAACATGACATGGCTTTGTGCGATTGTCAAATCGCAAAGGCTGCAATTTAACTGTTTTAGAGTGAAGCGAGGCACTGTGTTCATTTACACACAAGCAGCTCATGATCCAGTGTTTTCAATGTTTCAGAGCAGCTCGATTCACAGTAATCGCTGCTCCACTCATCTCTGCAATGTGCTCTTTTGGGTTGTTTCTAACATGCATTTGTGAACGCAACATGCAAACCATCTTTCCAAACTTGTAATGACAAACACTCATAAACCGGCTGTTGCCAACAAAAGAGAAGCTTTAGGAGCTCCTTGCAGTTTTCCGCCAAAACAAAAGCTTGATGGTTTACCATCTGAAACTGAATTAAGACAGTCATAAATATTAGAAATGTAATTTTACAGTTGTACAGTAAAGTATAATTCTAAAATATTTGATTTCTTATTTTACAGTGAAATATTACATTAGTAATTTCCTATTTTGTTTATTATTCTATTTACTAGTACTTATTATAAGTCATATTGATATATAAGGTACAGCAAACCTGTAACTTTAACGCAGTCTTTATCAGAAAATTTGCAATTTGATTATTTTTCCCCCAAATTGTGCAACCCTAGATCTGAGTCACTAATATGACCAAAACGAAACTTGGCTTTTCTCATTATGCGTCAACCGAGGAAAAGCATTGTGATCATATGCGAGCATGACATTTCAAGAAACAAGAATGCTAGAAATACAATACGCGATCAAACTGTGAAAGCAAATGTGTTATGATCTAGTCCCTGGCACTGTTAGGTGTGGACGTGATTATGACCATACAGGGGCAATGTTCATTTCCCTGATAAGAAAAACTCAAAAACTGTCTATGATTAACTTGGAGTTAAAGGGGTCATATGATGCTGCTAAAAAGAACATTATTTTGTGTACAGTGCCGTGAAAAGGTTTTTGCCCCCTTCCTTGTTGCTAAAAATAACATTATTTTGTGTATTTGGTGTATTGAAATGTGTTTATGCGGTTTAAGGTTCAAAAAACACATTATTTTCCACATACTGTACATTATTGTTTCTCCTCTATGCCCCGCCTTTCTGAAATGCGTTGATTTTTACAAAGCTCATAGGTCTGAAAAGCGAGGTGTGCTCTGATTGGCCAGCTATCCAGTGCGTTGTGATTGGCCGAATACCTGAAGCGTGTAACACTCCAAAGAGAAAGGAAAAAATTTAAATCGCATCATACGACCCCTTTAAAAGCATGATGGTTATGCAATATACAGATGCTTCTCTGCATCACAACAAGACAAAAACAAATCAAACTGAAAGTGTTCTCGATGTCTTGATCAGAAGTTTTTAATCTGGTACATATTAAAATGACAACAAACTCCCGCAGCTATAAACAGTGGAGGCAAGGGTTTGTGACTCATGACTGCAATACAGTAGCGTCACAAAGAGCTACACAAACACTGTTTTTGTTGAACATTTTAAAACAGCAAAGCCTACTCAGCACTGGGAACCCCTTTAATTCAAACGGAACTGCATTTGCTTACACCAGCAGCAGCTGTTTTGACCCAGCTTTGTTAGTGCTGCCCAGTGTAGGCATGAATAGGAAAAGCCCAGAAGGATGCAGGCTTCGGAAAAACCAAGCGCTCATCTATACAACTGAAAATGACTATAGAGAGATGAGCGTACTTACTCACCTGTGTTGCTTCTCTTCAATGTCTTTGGTGGCAATAGCATCCAATTCTCTGCAAGGAAACAAACACAGATGTTCAATTAAGAATTTGACATTCACTTTTCATTCTCTAGTACATAAATGCTGACAAAACCAATAGTTATTACAAAAACATTTGACAGAATCAAAGTGGATCTGGATTATGTAGCTTGACAATTTTAGTGAGGTGAATGCAAAGTTTAATTCTTGGACAGATGGCTACATATTGTGTGAACAACACTGAAGTGTGCAATGACAAGGCAACCTTTTTGCACCTTACAGTCTAGGAAAATAATAAATATAGAGCTAATTTTTCTTTCTAAAATTTTCAGTTTCATTACTGGTGAAATCGCAACTACACAAGTAGGCTAATGCAAGTGCCACATACTTGGGTGATTTGTCCAATGGCAACCACAAACATCCTATCACATCATACACCACAATATGAAACCAAAATCAACTCAAAGCCTCTCGCCATATTTACACAGTGGGAAATGAGGAAAAGATGGACGGACACACTTCTAATTGTAAATCACAGAGTAACCGGGCATGAACAGCAGTCTACAATATTCAACCAGACTGCATTCTTTAGATAACCTTACTTTTAGCTAAAACAATACGTGATTAATAAAGAAAAAGACTTCTTAAAAATAAAACAAGTGACTCAGTTTAACATTAGGTATACTTTATTTAGACGGTTAAAGGCAGAGAGCAGCGAGACCTCCTCCCCCACCGCTGGCTTCAGCTGCTGCTAACGGGGCAAACCAGCAACCTTGACCTGCCCTTACAAAACATTACAATATAACGCACTCAAAACATGTTTCTAAACAACTTTTACTCTCAAAGAGCGACTTCGTGATGTCTATTTTCTTTACTCTGGTCTGGGAGAAGGAAACAGCTTTTTCTGTGGCATTTTTCATCGGTGTTAGCTGCCGTTGACAGCGAAGCTAAACACAAAATAAACATAAGTTAGCATTTAACGCTCAGCACTCCGTGAAGTTATTAAAGCGAATAAAGCGTTTATAATGAAAGCAAACTGGTTATCCAATTATTAAATATAATTTTCCTTGATGTGCGCAATTCAGCAGCTGAGCTAAGAGTGCTAACAAACCAGCTGGCCACTAAAGCCTCTTGTCTTCTAACAGCTTAACGAATCAAACACGGTTTTATTAATGCTCACTTTAGCCGATAGCGACACAAATTGTATTTTTGGTTGAATTATTATGGATCAAATGCTGCTGGTAGCAACTAGAAAGCGAGTCGACGTCGAGAAAAGTTGCAGGACGCCGAATTCAACATTTAAATTAAATCAACGTATTTTCAAAATACATTACAGAAAACGGTCCCAGAATGCATGAAACCTCATGTTTAAACGCTGTGCATTCATAAACTCGACTTTTTTTTATTTGTAAACACGTTAGACACACTTAAGAAACCGACTGCAATGTCACTTCGATGCCATTATGTGAAAGCAGGAGATCAATGTTCAATAAATATACCACACAGAGATGCATTTTGCTTTTTAGACAATGCAGACAGTAGACACTATTCATAAAAACAATCAAATTGTTTAACTATCATGCAAACAACATGGTAAAACATTCATCCGTGCCTCCACTGCTGAGCTCAGCTTAGATATCGCAGAGATACGCTGCTCGATTATTTATACCGCTTATATGGTTAAAATCACAAACATACACACGAACAAACCGCAAGACTTACCTCTTGTAGTTTAAAGTGCAGTAGAGATTAAATGAAAGCAAATAATAAGGCTATAGAAATTCAACACATTTGCAGAGTCTAGGAGGGGAAACATTTGTCCTGCTCGATCGCCATTTTCTTCTCTTGCATTCATGCATTCATCCCTGCAACTGCAGGAAGAGCTCAAGCGCTGCTTTCAGAGCACTTCCTCCAACTCTACACACTCACCTCCAAAATGGTGGCCACAGAGAGGACGTGTTTCAAAACCTAGTGAGCTAGCTAGACTGCACTTTTGGGCTTCGCGAACACGTGAGGTATTTTTGGACATCGTAGGGAATTCTAGGGGAACTGAGAAATAAGGTTCTAAAACAGCTATGATGAGTGACACGTGAGCTTAGCTGATTTAAAAGCCCAAAAATGCTGTCTAGGTAGGCAGCTCACTAGGTTTCGAAACGCAGCCAGAGCTGATGGTTAACCGAGACTTCACTAATGTTAGATGTGTTTTGCCAACGATATAAATTAAAAGTTTGGAGGGAAAAGTAACTGGGTTATAATGAGAAAATTATTATATGACATGAAAAAAAAAATAGACCAAGTAATCCAGAATAATGCCATCAAGGAATATTTCATCAAAACGGTCACCAAACTTGTTCCTCAGACCATAGGTCACCAAACTTGTTCCTGGAGGGCTAGTATCCTGCAGAGTTTAGCTCCAACCCTTATCAAACACACCTGTACCAGCTAATCAAGATCTTGCTTGGTATACTTGTAACTTCAAGGCAGGTGTGTTGAGGCAAGTTGGAGCTAAACTCTGACACCGGCCCGGCCTCCAGGACCGAGTGTGGTGACCCCTGATTTAGACAGACAGTTTAAGAAAATAAGATTGTCATGCTGAAACCAGCATAAGGACAATGGGGTAAAAATAATCCCATATATAATAAAAGTAAATAATACAGGCTATGCTAAAGCAATCAAATACATAGCATTTGCTTTTGTTAAAGGGGTAATATGATGCGATTTCAAGTTTTCCTTTCTCGTTGGAGTGTTAGATAAGATCCCTAAAGTTGCAAAGACTAAAGTCTCAAGCCCAAAGAGATATTCTTTATAAAAGTTAAGACTCGTCCACGCCTTCCTAAAATGCCTTGTGTAAACACGCCCGGGGGAATCTCCTCAACCACCACCAGTGTGCAGCATCCACCTGGATGATGCGACGGCAGTCATATTGCGCCAGCACGCCCACCACACACCAGCTTATTGGTGGAGAGGAGATAGAGTGATGAAGCCAATCAGCAGATATGGGGATGATTAGAAGGCCATGATGGTCAGAGGCCAATGGGCGAATTTGGCCAGGATGCCGAGGTTACACCCCTACTCTTTTTCGAACTCATTGTAGACTACAATGCTGGCTGTTCTGACTCACAGACTGTAAGTACGTTTTCATATTTAAAGGATTTGCCACTGATGATTCAAACGCGGGGTTTGAGCAGTGTAGAGTAGCACTTGTTGTTTGTCATTTCTCGTTGGAGTGTTAGATAAGATCCCTAAAGTTGCAAAGACTAAAGTCTCAAGCCCAAAGAGATATTCTTTATAAAAGTTAAGACTCGTCCACGCCTTCCTAAAATGCCTTGTGTAAACACGCCCCCACATGTCTACGTCGCTGTGTGGGAAGATTTGCATAACACCACCCAAATTTTCACACAAAGAAAGAAGGCGTAACTTTATTGTTGCCAAATACACAAAATAATGTTATTTTTAGCAGCATCATATGACCCCTTTAATCTCAAACAGAGCCCGTTTCACTTTATTAAATCTAACGCATTTATGATCCATATTTATCAGACTGCATTTTTCAATAATATTGTGTTCTAATGGATGGCATATTTCAAATTTGTTTCACTATATAAATTATACATTGTTCATGAGTAGTTTGATGTTCTTAGTGTCTGAATATGTTGTATTAAGAACTTTTCTGTGAATAAACTGAGCTGAAACACTTTTAGGGAAACTACCTAGACAAAACAGATTCCTCATTGTTCAGTTGTTTGTTTACAGTGAATACCTTCACCATTGTGAAATTCTCTTTCAGCAAAAGGCAAAAACACCAACCAAGTGCAAACTAGGAAAAACCTAAATAAATCTACAACAATATAGACACAGACCAGCTTTTAGTCTGGAATTTGCCTGCGTTTTCACTTTGAAGACAAAGCAGCGGCACACAGTTGAAAACGGCTCGGATGCGCTGTACTTTTGAAGCGCTCATTCTGCCTCACTAGGCAGGAATCACACAGATTGAGCCACTTTCAAACTGAAAACAACCTGTTTTAAATGTATAAACTTGATCGAGATTTTACATAACATTTTAATTTGAGTGTCATTGCACAAAAGTAGGATACTAAAAATACATGAGCAGGTAGAGCCACATTCCACTGAGTTCAGAGGTACAACGCACAGATATTTTGCATATTTTGTAAGGTGTTGTTGCAAAACAATTTCAACAATCGCTTGTATGAAACCACAGGAGAATAAGCCCTTTGCAATTTCAAACATTATTTAATCATTCACTTTTACATTGTCTAATTATAAAGCTCTTTAATAGGGTTATATATCTTTTGAAACCAAGGATATCCTTTCATTGTCATTCCAAATTATGTGAGTCATATTTTGTCTGTTTCATCAAAAATGTCTTAAAATAAGAAAGTAACTTTGCATAGTGCTCGGGACAGCTCAGGCCTCGGCGTCTGTGGTATTAAGAATTAATTTTGTATGAGGCATGAATATTGATGATCAGTGGAGGTCCGGGGCCAGCTGCTTGTGAGAGAGTTAGCTGCAGTAGGACAAGGGTCAGTTTGGTCAGGCCAGTGGGCTGCTCTCCCCCCTCCCAGACCGATGAGAGCAAGGGGAGCCTGGGAACGCGGGCAGATGCATTGTGCTCAGGCAGACAGGGCAGGAGGAGGGGAACAGCTTTGCATGACAAATACATGGCTGGCTTTGGCTTTCAGAGACTCACTTCCAAACTCACTTAATAGTGAGCTCTGTTGCGCTGGTGTTATATTTCAAAACAGTCTAAATATAGAAAATATTTTTTACAACATTTTAATCAATGAAACTTGCAAGTTGGCAAAATTTGCAGAAAAAAAATCACAAAAATATGCTTGTGCAGATGTGACGTGACATGTCACTCGCATTATTTGCCTTCCCCTCTTTCGGCTTTACCTCTGTCCCCCTAATCCTCATTATTCTCTGGTCCCCAGATGTACCAAGAGTCTCACCAACAAGGGCGCTATTTTTCATTTGCTCTCACCCAATTCCTCCACTACCCCATCATTATATTCAATCTCTATCTGTCTCTCACCCATCCCCCAAGAGTCACTCTCTCAGACAGGGTGCCAGCTGTGAAAGGGATTTTGCGGAGCTGAATTACACTCTGCATCCAACCAATTACCTGTCCGACCGTTCACAGGTCAGCCTGCACTGCCATGCTTCCAGGCTCGATTTATCTATCAGACCACTATTCTGCAAGGCATTTATCATGTTCACACAGCCATGCGCCCTGTCATTTATAAATGTTAATACACACCACTGCCTCATCAACTGTTAAATCTTGAGAGTAAGAGACCATTCTTGCTCTGTTGTGCTAGTTTATGGAAACAGTCAGCATCATATACGTAGCTCGTTCATATAGCTTGGTTTACATATGTTTTTAAAAGAAGTCTCTTATGCTCACCAAGGCTGCATTTGCTGAACAACAGCAAAAATACCAAAATTATGAAATATTATTACAATTTTTTTACAACTGTTCTGTATATTTTTTTTATTTGATTTATTCCTGTCATGGCAAAGTTAAATTTTCAGCATCATTACTGCAGTCTTCAGTGTCACATGATCCTTCAGAAATCATTCTAATATGCTGATTTGCTGCTTAAGAAACATTTATTATTATTATTATCCACATTGAAAACAATTGTGCTGCTTAATATTTTTGTGGGAATTTTTCTACTTTTTTCAGGATTCTTTGATGAATAGAAATAAGAAAGCTTTTGTAACATTACATGTCTAAGTAATTTTTCAATTTAATGAATCCTTGCTGATTAATTTCTTTCAAAAAAATCTTACTGACCCCAAACTTTTGAAAGACAATGTTTTTATCTATTTGTATATTATATTATATTATATTATATATTGCATAAAATAGCAAAATATATATAATCTAGAAGTATTCAGACAGCAATGGAATCAGATTTTAATATCATGGTATTGTCAATAATGCAAAACAGTTAGAATTTCACTTTAAAGTGTTCTATCAGAGAAAGGTAACTCATATATAGTAACATGTAAGACTATGTTAAAACTAATTTTTTTTTAAAAATCTTACCAATTTGATTAAGACTGCAAAATATATTTTTGGAGCTCCATGCTTTAACCTTTGCATATTTATTTCTGGTGATCTCGGTCTTCACAGCTTGACTTGTTTCAGAGCCACTCCAGTCACGTAAAAGCAATATAAAGATGCAAATGATGCTCGGAAGAGCAATCTTATTGTCATTCATGTATGCATGTAGTATATATTTTAGATGGAGGCATTTTCACCTAGAGCTGCTACAGCTCCAGTCAAAAACTTTGCTCCGGTCCAAATAAGACTCATTTGCATGTGCCCATCCGCCCTCATCTCAATAATTCACACCTATCTGTGTAATGTATTTCATCTGCAAGGCATGCATTTGAGTTTAGACTTGTGAAGTCTTCTAGACGAGACACACTATGCTTTCACTCTTCTGTAAGGAGAAAAGTACAGAAGTGTATGAATTTTAAAAGTAAATGTCACATGTACTTCAAAGATCACGTCACTTCAACTAAAAGTAAAGCCTGGAACCCTGAAGCATAATAATAAAACCCTCAAATTCAAGAAAGCATCTTTCATGGAAACAATTTCCATGCCTAAAGATGAATTTTTTTGCTATTGTAGATTTGCTAATCTGATCTGGTTTGGGTCAAATCATATCCATAACATAGATGGACACCCTTGTGGCCGACATTGTTCCGTCTCACTGGGGGGTGTTTCTGTGAGCAGGGGTAAAGAACAGCTCTCCCAATGATACAAAATAGGGCTTTAAATGAACTCCCACCATGACCATATTCACTACAGTAAATAGAAACTTTGACCTGCTCCCTTATAGCCCCACTCCCCTGTCCATGAATAGTTTTTCTCCCCTATAGCAGCAGCCAGT